CAAGCACATGATGCTCTGTTTGGTTTTGTTAATGACTTTGTTCTGAACTGGAGCCTACTATTACTGTTATCTATTGAATCAAAGCATATTAAAATGTGCTTGAACTATTTTATCATTTCTTAATAATGTTTGTACTGGAAGAGAGAATGGGAGGGGGTCGTCAAATATTTTACTGGTAAAAAACGGGGTCCCTTGGGAAAAAGGTTGGGAACCACTGTTCTAGATCCCCAGTGAGTCGTGGAGGATGGCTGCTTATACTGAGCCAGGATTCTCTGGAGGTTTCTTCCTGTTAAAAGGGAGTTTTCCTCTCCACTGTCGCTGCATGCTTGTTTAGTATGAGGATTGCTGTAAAGACAGACACTGGCCAGTGACTCGATGTAATTTGTAGGGTTCCTTATGTTACGTATCCAAATGGTCAATTTTGCACCATCTAATTGACCACAAGATAACCTTTCATTTGCAGACAACCCCACTATCTATCTGGAAACTTTTTACTGACTGGCTTAATGAACTGACCTGTATTGAATTGTTTATTATGTGAAGTGCCTTGAGACGACTCTTGTCGTGATTTGGCGCTATATAAATAAACTTGAATTGAATTGAAACTCCAAAAAACACAGAAGCATGTTTAACCCGGCCTGCTCCAACACACCTGACTTCCACCAGCAGGTGACTAACAGGCTCCTGCAAGCCTGATACGCTCCTGCAGGTGATCCAACCACTAAATCAAGTGTGCTGGAACAGAGGAACAACGGACACACACACTGGAACACACCAGGAGAACCACTGCGCTAAAGCATACTGAACAGCCAAAAACAGTGTTGCCAGAAATGTTTCCTGTCACATGCATGGGAGAGTTCAGGTCGAGGATCCAAGTTGCTGGAGAACCAAGGCAGGCAGAACCAAGGCAGGCAGGCAAGAATGATCACAAAACGCGGGTTTAATGAAGCACACACGGGACACTGAAACAATGAACGGACGAGGAACACAGAACAGGGTTTAAGTACAAGAGGAGCTGGGATCTTAAGTGTTTGGGAGACGAGAGGCAGGTGGGAGCAATAGGGAACAGAGAGTAGGGAGACAGTACCACACTTTGTTCTAGTGACACCGCGCAGCTATAGAGCGAGCTTTGGAGCAGAGCAATCAGTAAATATAAATGAATGAAACATTTTTAAAAGTGGTCAGATGGAGCCTAAGATGGCAATAGTCTTAAGGTGCGCAGGAAGAGATCGCCGTCTTTCCCAGATCTGACGAGAACATTTGATGAAAACATTTCATTGAGCCCAATCCCAGCTGGAGCGAGCCGGTGTTCTGTCAGAACTCCTGTTCTCTGACAGGTGCGCCTCTGACTGCTATGTGCAGATGCCTAAAATTTCAAACATCCGTCGAAAGTGACGGAGACTGCAAGCTTGTGATTGGTCAGGACACCGCTTCTTGTATATTCGTCGGCAGCAGCGTTGTAGCCCCGTTTAAAAGTAAAAAGATATTTAGTGACGACCCAGAACTAACTGAAAAACGCAGCGTGGAAAAGTCCGAAAATATGAAAGTTTATTCAGCCGTGACTGAAGGTGTAGAACAGGGGTGTCAAACTCAAACTCACACGGGGCCGAAATGAAACTCTGGGACGGAGTCGAGGGCCAAACTTAATATTTTTTGAAAAAGTGACACAAATTTGCACATTTTCTTTATCAACATTTATGCAATTTTGAACCTTTAAATTTGGAAACAAACATATTTCTGCATTAACACTGAATGTGGAATAACCAAATTACACACGAGCAAGTCCGTTTTAAATAAAAGGCCTCAGTGGTATTCATTACTTGTGGTATAATCAGCATTTTTAAAATCTATTCAGGATTTATGTTTTCTTGTTTATTCATTTTTCTTATTTTTTATTCTCCTTTTTTCTCCTGTAATACGTGTCATCGCTGCTGTGACGTCTAGCTTTCCCCACTGAGGAACAATAAAGGGATTTTCTATTCTATTCATCTATCTGCAGCCTTTCCACTTCCTGTTTACTGTAGGTTAAATCTCTTCTCACGGGCCAACAACAACATAAAAATATCATTTTATCTTAAATGAAAATGCAACATCTCACCTGTTAACTTTCATCTTTTGGAGAAGAAAAAGAGCATCAAACCAACATATTTAAAGCTCAGTTTGCTCCACTGGTTTACTGTGATGCTCACCTGTTCCAGCCAGATACCTGCATCATGGGGTTGATCTGAGCTGAGGAGGAGGCTCCTGTTGTTTTGTTCATCTTCATCATAATAATGACAACATTAGATGACAACAGGTGCTCACATAGGTTTGTGCTGCTGAACATGTCTGAGCAGCTTGACCACGTTGTTGTGTGTCGGGGAGGAAAAATAAAAACTACAGCAGCCACAGAGTCATGCTGACTTGAGCGTGTCGCTGCTCGCTGGAGTTATATCAGCTCTGTCTGGACGTTAGTTGGAAAACTTTCTCTTTCAGTCGTGAACACATTACTGAGCGGCTAGAATCTCCGTTTCTGGGCTTCAACGTCAGAAAACAGCTGAGTGAACTCGGCGCTGAGTGAGAGGAGTGTTTAGTTTGTCCGAGACAGCGGAGCTGCAGACACCGGCAGCAGGCGCTGAAAAAACACAAAGGAGGGGGCTTCGTCGGCTCCGCGCTGACGCCGCAAAGCATCATGGGAGTTGAAGTCTTTGCGGTAAAATCGGCCAGCGGGCCAGTTTTAATATATTTTTGATATTTATCTCGCGGGCCACATAAAAATGCTCCGTGGGCCGCATCTGGCCCGCGGGCCTTGACTCTGACATATGTGGTGTAGAAAATACGGAGCAAAGTGGACGGAAGTGATGGGAAACGTGGGTTTAGCGGTGGATATCACACGAAGAGAGAATAAAGGACACATGTGTCCGTATTAAAAAGTCTCTGAAACACAAAAACATGCACTATCGTGGACTGGAAACACGAGTGTTAAGCCTAATTTACACTTTTCCGTCAGCTCCACGAGTGACAGACACGTATGCATGGACAGACGTTTTGCTCTTTGACCTCTCCGGCCCAATCCCAATACTCCTGCGGACTTCAGCGTCGAGTGTGTGGTACACACGTGTGCAAATAATTGCAGAACTGAGACAGGGAGCATTGCGTAGTTGACTGCAACACATGCCGGGATGCTGGTCGCTGTGAATTTTTTTTACAGGAATCTTTATTAATAACTTTTAAACAAACAACCAAACAACTTTTTAAAATGCATTTACATTCATTGCTGCTTTGTCTAAAACATTCAGAGCATCAACTAATCGTCCTAAAATGAACTACTTTCATTAGGAAATACATGTTTTCAGAAAAGGCACTTGAGCCTTTTCTCCGCAGCAAAGGATCGTGGGAAATACACCTTACCTGGGTGAAGTGCGGATCAAGGGTGCAAAAGGGGAGTGATCAACTTCTGCATTTGAGAAGTGGGACACCCTCCGCACTTGCACCCCTGGTCCGGATCGCGCAGTTGAAGGGCATGAGGGCGGAAGAGTGAGTATTGGGCTTGGGCCTCCGTCTCCTGGGGAGTGTTGCAAAGCAATTCCCCTCCAGGACAACAGAGGGCGTAGCGCTGTTCTGTGTTTTGTATTTCAGAGACTTTTTAATGTGGACTAATTTGTCCCTCATTCTCGTCCACCTCTTCATGCGCTCGCCCCCTCCAAACACGTCTGCCTGTTTGGCAGATGAGGCGCGAATGCTTTTGCAAACACGGGGTGTTTCTCAATGTCAAGGAACCTCGCCTTGATGTCTTGGCCCCGCCCCGGTTGTCTAGGAGATACATCATCAGGAGCCACCAAAACGTGTTCCAATGTTCATGTTGTACCGAGGCGTGTGTTCTCCGTTTGTTAGCCGTTTAGCTAGCTGAACGAGGATACACAGGGGTGTCTTGTAGCGTAGCCATCATCAAACATTACCCAGAATACACCGCGGTATTTTTAAAAACATGGTGGATCAGGAGCCGGCAGCTACTTTGGGGACAATTTTCAAATTTAAAAGTAAGTCGACTAATTTTAAAAGGTTTTTTTTTAGATCCAAAGAAGTTATCTATGGTTGGTTAGTTGCTTAGTAGTTGCAGCTTCGGTGGCTAGTGGGTAGTAACTCACTTATATATTTAATTTAATAAACATATACAGAATTTAAAAAGTAAAAGGCTCGTTATATATTTATATTGAAACTAATACGTATAAAATATACGTGACGTGATCGCCGTGGAAGCCGCGGTCACGTGATGCAAGTCTGTTCCATTTAACTGTTTTCTTTGACCGTGGAAGGACCGTGTCCTCGCAAGGCCAGGCGCCTTGACATTGGGAAACACTCTGTGTCACTGACTAGCTTATTTGTCACTATAAGTCACATGACCAGCTCTGAACGTCATCTCGCAATGTACATCAACACGGACAGAAACAGAGGTGAGCTGATGGAGCCAATTAGGGAGGGAAATGACCGTATCACCATGGAGACAGACGCTGTCAGGGAAGTATGAAGTTTTAGTTTGATGGGAGTTGTCAGGGACCGCGTGGAAACATCCTAAACCGGTCTGATTGTTTTTTGGTTTGTTTAGAAGTGCCACACCTTGAAAACACCTGCTGGGACTGGGGGGGAATTATGTTATTGGGATGAGTGGGAATTTTTTTCCTCCTTGCTTTTTGGGATTGGGACATAAGTACTTTTTATGATGGGAGTGGGAAAGCAAAGAAAATCCATTCTCGTGTCACTATCGAGGAAGGTCCTGAGACACTCAGAGGGGGGAGGAGGACCTCAGAGGGGGAGGACCTTGGAGGCTCAGAGGGGGAGGACCTCTGGGGGGAGGACCTTGGAGGCTCAGAGGGGGAGGACCTCTGGGGGGAGGACCTTGGAGGCTCAGAGGGGAAGGACCTCTGGGGGGAGGACCTTGGAGGCTCAGAGGGGGAGGACCTCAGAGGGGGAGGACCTTGGAGGCTCAGAGGGGGAGGACCTCTGGGGGGAGGACCTGAGAGGATGTGGGTGAAGCAGCTCAGACGGAACTTCTCGGTGACAGTTCCGCGGAAGTGCGGCCGGTGTGGGGACCAGGTTGTTGGGCTCGGTTACCGTCAGAAAGCTGCAGCATGTCTCACCTGCGACCCCGGCTGTGTGTTCTGGAGAAAGGAACCCAAGGTTACGGGTTCCACCTGCACGGTGACAAGAACCGGGCCGGGCAGTTCATCCGGCTGGTGGAGGACGAGTCTCCCGCCGCCGTGGCCGGGCTCCTCGCGGGGGATCGGATCATGTTCGTGAACGGGGAGAACGTGGAGGGCGAGAGCCACCAGCAGGTGGTCGCGAGGATCCGGGCCACCACCGGAGCTCTGGAGCTGATCGTTGTGGACCCGGAAACGGCGGAGATGCTGAAGAAACACGACTTGCAGTGCCGGAAGGAGTTTGTCACGGAGGGAGTCCCCCTTCCCGCCGCTGGGAACGGAGACTCGGACTCAAACAGCACCGGGACTCCCAGGGAAGCCAGCCCGGTCCCGGAGGAGAACGGGGACCGATCCCCGGGAAGGGGGAGGGGGCTGAGTGGCAGCTCCGGGTCAAAGGTCAGTTACCGACTTCAAACAGGGTTCTGTTCGGTGTGTGTGTGTGTGTGTGTGTGTGTGTGTGTGTGTGTGTGTGTGTGTGTGTGTGTGTGTGTGTGAACTCCACATGAAGATCGGCGGGTGCCTAGCAACGGGGAGATGACTGACATCAGGTCCTCTGTCAGCTCATGAGAGTCCAGCTGAAAAACACTTTAGTCTCAACTTCTGGTGATTGTTGTTTCTCTCTCTGACACACACACACACACACACACACACACACACACACACACACACACACACACACACACACACACACACACACACACACACACACACACACCGCCCCCTCAGAGCTGACCTGGTTCTGTGGAGGTGACTTGGCTTGATAACTCTTTAGTGGTGTGTGTGTGTGTGTGTGTGTGTGTGGGGGGGGGGGGGAGTGCATCGTCTGTGTGGCCTGCAGGAGCGTGACATCACTCCTGTACCTGTGTGGTTGCTTTAGCTGCAGCGGCGGGCCCTGATGGGGTTAGCCGGCCAGCAGGATTAGGGCTGTCTGCTATAGTTAGCGCCTGGCCCGGTTGTGTAACCGACTGGTAATCCTCCTCCCTGGAACGGTCCAGGTCCAGGCTGTCTGACCTGTGGGCCAAAGGTCAGAGTTGTCCTGGGACACCAGTGAGCGCTGTTATCAACAACAACAGAGTGGGGGTGCTCCCGCCTGAGTGGTGGAGCGAGTCTTTGTGGAACATTTAGTACCACACGTTCTCTTGGCTTCTGTGTTGAGTAGTGTTGTAATCTCCGTCAGAACGCGTCCTGCTGGCACACACCTGAGATGGTACCAAAACTAACACCACTCCTTTTATGAAACTACAACAAACTGAAAACTGATCAGTGCAACAACTTCAGTCTCCTCCAACGGATGTGCCCAGTGCTGCAGGGCCGCCGTCCAGCATGTTTGAGTTATTTCACTGCTCTAACGCACCTGGTTTTAATCAGCAGGATTCAGCAGAACTGAACAGGAGATCCAGGCGCTGAGTCAGGTGTTTGGAGCAGGTAAACGACTAAAACATGCTGGGCTACGAGGAGTGAGTCAACTCTGCCAGCAAGAGAACAGTTACCATCATCCTGTTCATCTGCAGATGCTGCAGAGGTATGGAGCCAACCCGCATCGCTCCTGGTCTGCTGCTAAGGCAGGCCGTTGTGGTATTTAACTTACAAACACTTCTATCTTTGAATATAATTTTAGACTGAATTACTGAAAACCCATACGCCACCATTACATTACCAGTGTGACTAGCATTTCCAACATGTTAATGAAACCATATGTGGATATTTAGACACGTCAGCTTGACTAGGAGGGCGATCATTAATACCACCTTAAACACTACTGAAGTACAGCTGAATCTATGAAATATGTCTGGTTGGGACATCTTTGTTAGAAGTTCATGTGAGCTGACAGACATGACTGTCAGAGGCATGCTCCCTCTTTCAGTTCTAGAAGATGACGGCTTCCAGATGTCACCTTCAGTCCCAGATACACACTTCCTTCTAGGACAGGGCCCAGTCCTGGTTCTGGAGGACCTCTATAAAGCTCCACAAAAATAAACAATAATGAACAAGAGTCTGCTTCTAGACCTGCAGAAAAGGGACAGACAACAATACAACAGGAGCAGGCTATCACTGCGTCAACCTGATGGTGAAATATATAATCAGCATTGTTTAACTGAACAATCACACGATAATAAATCACAGTGCATTTAGTACCAACCACAGCCTTAAGACATGTGTTTAACGTGCCCAAGCCCATACTTATGTGAGCACCTGTGTGTGTACACGCGCTTGTTTATGTAAGGTTTCTCTATAGGAGCGTCCAATAGAGAGTGTGAGGGACCACAGATCCGCCCCCCAAAGATATGCAGTAGACGGGGGGAGCTCCAAGTCCCAGAGATCCAGGCGCTGCTCCAGAACACAGGAACCCCAAGGAGACTGCAACCAGAAAGGCCCCCGCCCCCCTCAAGAGGCACAGAGGATCGCCCCGGGGGGCCACAACCAGCAGCCGGCAGAGTCCCGGGAGACATCAGCGGCAAGCCCACAGGCCCGCCCGCAGCCTCCCACCCCCTAGCCGGCTGAGCCCGGGACCCAGGGGCGACCACCCCCGCCGGGGACCCAGCAGAGCCCAGGGACCCAGGGAATTATTGATAAATATATTGATAAAATCCCTAACATAATTTTAGATAGAATTTCCATCCATTCACCCGTTAATAAAACCGTCCCACGCCAGTTGTGCAGAATCCACGAACCCTTGTGGTGGAGCTCCTGGTGATCCAGGGGTCGGAGGAGTCGGTCGATGGAGCTGACCTCTGTGGTATTTGGAGCCCGTACTTCTACCTCAAATATAAAACCGCTGGTCTGGGATACCTTCAGGGGGGATGTCGGCGGTCAGAGGAAGTGTGCATCTGGTTGTGAAACTAAGAAAATCTAAACTCTACAGGCAGAAGAAAAGTTCCCATCATCCAGTTTATTCTTAGCCGTCTGCAGCACCATGCAGCAGAAATACGGCAAGCCACTGTAGCATGTAATTCACAATCGTGTCTATCTTCAAACATAATTCAAAGTGGATTGTTGCTAACCCGAACAAAATAGGTATGATACAATTTTTAGCAGCAGAAATGAAATGTCATCATTTCCAGTGTACTACAGAACACGTTAATGAAGTACTTCACATAATACTGATCATAGTTTTACTCTGGATATATTCAGATATGTCATGTTGGCTAAAATGAGTGATATTAATATGTAAGGGTTTAATTTACATCTATTTAAGGAACCATAAGACGTAAGATTCCGTAGTAAATATGAAATCAACCTTATGGATCTTTGGCTACTTTTAACCAGAAGAATGGAACTTTTTATCGCAGGGATTATGTAACACTTTGTATTCACTGAGAGACAAGAGAGAAGAGTGTTACCTTTAAAACGTTTAAGAAGATTTATTTTTAAACAATTTTAAACAAGACTAACTCTAAACTCTAAGTGAACGGATGGATCTTGGTGTGGATGAGACGTGAGATGAGTGTATGTGTGAGTGGTGTTGTCATCAAAACTCTCGTATCCGGAGAAGCAAGTCTGCGTGGGAAGTGATGTTTTGCTCTTAAGCTATGATCGGAGTTTCATAAACACATGAGACGCCATCTTGTCGTTCCACACATACCCTTCAGGATGAGACCTCCGTACAGATCCAGAATGCCAGGTCCTCAGAACCCCCTTCAGTACCGGAGCCGATGAAACAGCGTCAGCAGTACGACAGACTAGTCTTTGGATTGTCTCCAGGTAAAAAGCGACGGTAGGCTGACAGCGTCAGATGGACCTGGAGGGTCAGTGAGTTCAGCTTTTATTCTGAAAGGAACCGTTGCTTGGTTGGTAAAATGCAACAGATTTTATCCAGCTTGTTGCTTCTTTGCTTAAAAAGGAAGTCCGGGTGGCCGGTCCGACACTTCTCTTAGCATGCGGAGAACTGCAGTGACCTGAAGAGAACTCAGAGAACTGAACTAAGATGGTGTGGGACTGGTTTTATTAATCTGGATGTTTTGATTTTTGGTCGAATCAACGTTGGCAGATTTATAAACACCACAGTGACTATGCCACGCTTCAGAAAGGAAGGTTCCGATTGGATGAGTAAAAGCAATGTCATGAGTTTAAATTACATGTGATCAGGGTGTCTAGTGCAGCTAGATTAATGTCATATAACTCATTGAACACTGTCATTTCACAGATTGGTTCACATTATTATTGACTAACACTTTGTTTGATTAGCTTTATTAAAAATAGAAAGAGTTCATCTTTCTTCTCTTGGGCTGGAAAGGAGAAGTTTTAGAATCAAATGCATGACCTTGAACAATATCTCATGCAGATTAGTTCCTGCTGAGGAGAGGGGGAAACGACTTTTAGGTGGAAACCAGTCGTTTCATTCTGTTACAAATACGAACCTAAAATGTTACTGAAATGTAGTAAAGTTTTGTTCCTAAAATATCTAACCATAAATATCAGAAGGGAAACTGGGAACTAGACAACACCAGTTTTATATCAAGAGTCTGACATTTCAGCCTCATCATTCTGTAGTTTTATTTCATATGTTTAGCAGCAGACCATGGTCTTGTTGCACTTGAAACATGTCAAATGGAATATTCCACTAATCAGCAGATTCAATAATATTCAAATACTAAAATAGCTGCAGTCCTATTTTATACCTTTAACAGAAAAACAAACAAGAAGTCACAAAAACACAACCTGCACCAAACCCAGAAGGTTTATAAATACATCACGGTGGTGTTGTACTCGAACACGTTCATCTAACAATCATTTAGCTCCAGATCTCCACGGAGCTAAAGCCTTAGCTAAACATCCTGTTAACCATACAGTTTATAAAAGTAGAACACCAAACGCGACTATCATACACAGGAGTGATCGGCGTGGTGTCTACTCTTCTACGTCTACGCCGTTGAGGACGGACCTCTATAATGAACACATCTACATTCAATTGAATGAAAGAAAATGTTCTTTTTGAAATGACACCGACAAGAATGTCTGAAGATATTTCAGGATCAGCTTTATTGTCAAGTATGTGAGTTAGACTCACGCTACCAGGAATCTGCTCTGGTGGATGTTATTGTGTTTAATTATATGTACTACTGGTGTGTGTCCGTGTCTTTAACCCTGCCCCTGTCCTAAAGGGTGTGACCCCGCGAGGAAAGTTGACCATCGAGCAGGATTGATGGTTTATCCCTTGGGTCCACGTGGAAGGGTTGAGGTGGTGTTCACTCCTCACCCCTTCCACGTGGCCCCAAGGGCTAAACCATCAATCCTGCTCGATGGTCAACTTTCCTCGCGGGGTCACACCCCTTAGGACAGGGGCAGGGTTAAACCATTGTAAGAAGTACTTTTGGATTTAGACATTGCAACACATTTTTTATGCTGGTGCTACAAAACCTACGACCTCGTAGCTCCAGTGCTATGAGCTAAAAATT